GTATATAAATTATTTTAAAGACTGTTGTCGATATAGTCATCGACTGATAACGTTTTTGAAAAAATCCTGCAGGACTAAACGATATATTAAATTAGTGGAATTTATACGTATTTTGATGGCTTTCATTTAGTTGTATTATTAATATGAAAAGCTATATATTAAGATTCGTTGCTAGATAGCTAGAGAGATATGAACTTATTGAGATAGATAGATAGATAGATAGATAGATAGATAGATAGATAGATAGATAGATTCAGGAGGGATGACGATTGAGTTTAGCCTGAAGCAGACCGTCGCCGTTGGGTGTTGACCTCAATGTCCTCTTTAGAATTACATAAGCTCTATCCCTGATAGTGAGCCCCTTCAACCCATAAATATAGCCTACGTTAAAACTATATTCAATATATATATATATATATATATATATATATATATATATATATATATATATATATATTGTTCCTGTGTTTAAGAACTCTGGAGACCCCTCTGACCCCACTAATTACCGTCCTATTAGTAGTCTCCTACCCCTGTTCGGCAAAGTCTTCGAAGCCCTAATCAATGCCGAAGTGGTTAATCACCTCACATCCCATAATCTGCTCTCAGACAAGCAATATGGTTTCCGCTACGCCCGATCTACAGCTGATGTGCTTACGGCCATCACTGAAACCGTCTACCAAGCCCTTCAAAATAACTGTGAGGCTCGTGCTGTGGCCCTCGACATCTCCAAAGCATTCGATAGGGTTTGGCACGCCGGCCTTCTTCGTAAGCTCCAGGGGTATGGTGTTACTGGTCAACTGTTTGATCTAATAAAATCATTCCTGTCTAATCGAGAATTGAAGGTCGTTCTCAACGGATTCTCCTCCAGTTCCTATCCCACTAACGCAGGTGTGCCCGAAGGCTCCATCCTTGGCCCCACTCTTTTCATTATTTTCATCAATGACCTTCCTGAAGCTATAGATTCCCAAGTCGGCATCTATGCAGACGACACTACAATTTACTCCTGCCTCAAAAACAAGTCTAGTGTCGGCGACAAAACTAACCTTGCCGTGCGTCTTGAAATGGACCTCCAATCGGTTGTTAACTGGGGCAAGAATTGGCTGGTCAACTTTAACGCCGCAAAAACTAAATTACTCTCCATTAACCACCATAGAGATCCTTCCCTGCCCCCCATTAAAATGTCTGATAGTCAACTTCCTGAGAGCAACTCCCTGCTTCTGCTCGGTCTCACGCTGACTGCTGACCTGAGATGGAACAAATACATTGAGTCAATTGCTTCTTCCACCGCGAGGAAAGTTGGCTCTCTGTGCCGCGCCAGGAAATTTTTCTCCCCTGAATCGATACTTCAAATATACAAAACAACCATTCGCCCTTGCATGGAGTATTGCTGCCATATATGGGCTGGAACACCTTCTGCTTACCTCAGAGTTCTTGACAAGATCCAGAGAAGGATATGTAATCTAATTGGCCCTGATCTAGCGTCTTGTTTGCAGTCACTCTCTCACAGACGCGCCGTCGCCTCTCTCTGTCTTTTCTACAAATACTTCCATGGTAACTGCTCTGATGAGCTGCTATCTCTGGTTTCCAGACTCCATGAATTCAAGCGCCCTACGAGGCTGGCATCCCGCTCTCACCCTTACACCGTAGAAACCTTCAAATGTAGCCGTCTCTTCTACTCCAATAGCTTCATACCTCGCACCTCTCGCCAGTGGAACACCCTCCCCAATTACTGTTTCCCTGATAGCTATAATCTCCAACTATTCAAATGTAATGTCAATCGACATCTCCAATTACCTTGATCTACCCACTATCCTTCTCCCCTTCCTTTCTCTTATCACTCTTATCTGCTCTCGCTCCAAATCTTCCGCAACCCCCTGCATCCTAGTGGCTTCACGCCTTGCTTGGGGCTCAATGCTTAAAAAAAAAAAAATATATATATATATATATACACGTTTCATTAAATAATATAGACAAGTGTTGTCTATTCATTTTATGCAAACTCTTTTCATAACGTCTAATAAGTTTAATAACATTATCATTGAACGAAGAAAGAAATTCACAATATTGATCCATATATATTTTTTTAATACAATCTAAGTTTTCGGCTTACATAAGCCATAATCAAAGATGTCAATTACAATTATAAAATATATATATATATATATATATATATATATATATATATATATATATATATATAGGGTGATCAAAATACTTTTACAAAAGTAGCGTGCGGGTTCCTCACACCAAGGACAAAAGTCCATATAAACATATGTCCGCAAATCCTTTGTTTTTGAGTTATTAAGTTTACAGTAGATGGCATTGTATTACCACTTAGACTAGGTTACATTTGTCATTCGTGTATATTTGTGGCTAGTCTGTCTTCAACGTTTAACGTGTGTAGTATTTAGTTAACTGAGAAGTGATCTGTTTAACAATAGTAGGATATTCATATCGTGATCAGGCAGATATGATTTTTACATACGGCCGAGCGAATGGTAATGGACGCGAGACTGCACGTATTTATCAGATTGCGTGTTAAAAACGAAGGCAGTCGAGTCATCGAAACTTTGCTGCTGTTTATCGTTGTCTTGCTGAGATAGTTTTCGCTGCACTACAAACTATTGGTCGCCGAAGATCCGCTCGTAAGCCTGACTACGAAGAACACATTCTACATGGCCTTTAGGACATATGTTTCTATGAACATTTTACCTTGTATTGGAATCAGAAACCCACCTTCGAAGTTTGTAAAATCATTTTTGATACATCCTCTCTCTCCCTTTCTCTATCTATCTATCTATCTATCTATATATATATATATATAATTTCTATATCTTGCTTATTATAAAACATTGTGTGTGTGTGTGTGTCTGTACGTTTATATATTGGATCGGATTTTCTACATTTTTCAACCGATTTCAACAAAACTCCACAGGACTACGTAAAATTACCTTGCAGTGGTTCTGACAGCGTCAAAAACTGGAAAAACACAATTGTTTTTGCACAAAATAAATTTGAAAACACGATATACACGATTCTGTCGGCAGAATTAAAGGGGGACAACTCATATCGAGTTATACTTATTATAAAACCCAGGTTGTTTGTGTGTGTGTGTTCGTTTATATATGGGATCGGATTTCCTAAATTTTTCAACTGACTTCAACAAAACTTTTTTTGGCAGGTAGTGTTTCTTATTGTCTTGCACACTTTTTTCTTTATTTTTACATTCAGAATGCTTTAAAAAATTCCATTTACAAGACAGTTGTTTATAATAAAATTCTATTCAATCGATAGACTCATCGATTGAAAACAATGTTCTTGTTTGAGTTTGGGTTTGACCAATTCGTAAAAAAAAAAAAAAAAACTAATTAAGACATGCGTGTCCGTTAACCTTAAACAATAATCTTTGTCAATTTTATTTTTCAGTCTTTATGATGGTCGATACTTGATCTATCTCTTACTGTTACATCCTCTCAATGTCAGTAATAGAGCTAACATATTTAGTTGTATTGATATAAGTTTGTGACCCTAGGTCACAAACCTATATATATATATATATATATATGTTGCTATTAGCCTCTAACTCAGTGGAGAGAAAAGATGGATTCGTACGGTAGAAGCGAACACAACGGCTTTAACTTGGATTTGAACTCAACACGCCGATCCCGCTGTGATAAACGCATCGCTTCCTCACATCCAGATCTGCCTAAATACATGCACTTATCCTAGCCAATTAACTTTGAGCATGACAGTGGCAGAGATTTGCTGCAAGTGCATGAGCACGTTGTGGAGAGTAATTTTCTGAAGTGATCATCCATCCAATCTTTTCCTCTAAGCAATTTTGAAACATTACTTTCAAGATATCTAGCGATTCGACACGGCGCAGCGACATCTGGATACATGTGTCTTAATATCAGCATAAGGCCGATTTCGGTCGGCTGAATCACTTTTCCACGTAGCTAACCATGCACTTCCTGTATAGATGTGTATATTCGTTTATATTTGTACAGGAATTGACTAATACGTAGGCATCTGTCCATATTCAAATTGACACTCGTACAAAACAATCTCGAGAAATATACTCACAATACGTATAGAAAGTCACTTTCCCATTTGTTTACATAATTTTCTATAGATATATACAGAAATATTGATACGTATGAATGAGGTTCCTTGGAAAATAAGCTGGGGTAAGTATCCAGTGTACCATTCGTACATCCAAGCTAAAATATCTGGTATTCCAAAGCAGTCAGCTATCTAGGTCTTGACCAGATGTCGGTGGTCGTACCGAAGCCTGTGTTCCAACGTGGTGTGGTTAGAAGTCGTGGAGTGCTGTGAATGGTTTCGTCCTGAAGAGACACGGCAAATAGAAGGTTGTAGTACACATATTGGATCTGGAAATAAATGTATTCACACGGTAACTGAGATACATGCATTTACAGTGGCAAATATAGTATTTACTGAATCACTTAAGAATCTGTATTTGGACTCGCTAGTCGGGTTGATTTATTGTTATTTTGTCTTTTCGTAATTTCTCTATTTCCTTCTTTCAATACAAATCACCAGACCGACTTCTATTTTTCCGGCACCAAACTGTTTATCATCATCTTTTCAGTTTTTTCTTCCTCTTCACCGTTGATTCTACCTTTCATCGTCCTCTCCTCGGCTGCACCTCTTAAAAGTCTTTGTCAAAACACAATTTCTATCGCTTCCTTCATGTCTTGCTAATCGTATTTTTTGATTTCTTCTTGATTTTTCCCCCCTTTTTCTTTTATTTCTTTTCGGTTTGGCCTTTCCTTTTTGCTGCTGTTCTTTTATGTTTATTGCGATTGCGTCAGAGTTCTCACAGGTTTTTTTTCTTCTTCCACTAATGAAATTGTCATTTATTATCCCCTCCCCCCTTTAGAATCTATCATGAACTGCTTTTAGTATCGTTTGAGCTTCATCCCGGATATCCTTGATACTTTTTTTTTTTCATAGATATTTCCGTCATCACTTTCATGATGGATATCATAATCATTATCTCTCCTCCATTCGTTTTAATAATGGAAAGATATATATATACATACATACATATGTATATATATATATATATATATATATATATATATATATATATATATATATATATGTGTGTGTATGTGTGCGTACGTAATATAAAATAATAATAATATATATGTATAATTCTGTTCATATCTATCTATCTATCTATCTATCTATCTATCTAACAATGCGATATTGTAATCATTATTTCTCTTCTATTCTTTTTAATAATTGAAAGCTACACACGCACGCACACAAACACATATATCTTTTTACTTAACAGGCTACGTAGCTCATCCCATCTATCTATCTATCTATCTATCTATCTATCTATCTATCTATCTATCTATCTATCTATCTCCTGATTCTATCTATCTATATACCATTCTTATCCTATCAATCTGCTTCTGATCCTATCTGTCTATACCAGTCTGATTCTATCTATCTATCTATCTATCTATCTATCTATCTATCTATCTATCTATCTATCTATCTATCTATCTCCTGGCATAAGTATCTATCATTGTGAACCAAATATATCCAGGTATTTATGTCTTAAAATAAATTAATATTATGTAATAACTTTCTTTCTTGATATATATATATATATATATGTGTGTGTGTATGTGTGTGTATGTATGCATAAAGAGATAAAGTGTGATACATATGAGCATGGTTTGAACATCGCAGTGAAACGTAATGCAGTCTCTATGCAGTGCTGATTCCTGTTCACACACACTCTCTCTCTCTCTATATATATATATATAACCGCGATATCTCCGACAGACATTGAACAATCTTCCCCCACAATATATATATATATATATATATATATATATATGTTTGTGTGAGTGTGTGTCTGTGTGTATTATTTATTATAAGTTGTTATATACGGACAAACAAGTGGTCACGACAAAGATGCAAATAAATGCTCTACTCTTGGTATTTTAAATTAATGTTATGAACGTTTGAATTTATATTCTTTTCGTTCTCATTATATATATATATATATATATATATATATATATGTGTGTGTGTGTGTGTCTGTGTGTGTGTCTGTGTGTGTATGTATGTATGTATGTGTTTGTGTGTGTCGTATAAGTGGTTGACAGTTTAAAATTCTATGTGCACACAAACATTAATTGATCTTATTAAGAATCAAAATAAGGTTTATATTCTTCGCCCGAATCTAAATCTGTTTATCTCATTTCCTAATCCACGTTTATCCATTCTTCTCCGTTCGTATTTATCTCGCTTTCTATAGATCGAGCTGTCTGTCCGTCCCAGTTCATGCATACTTTGCAGATCTTAATAATGTTTTTCTTTTCCTTTCATTCTTTTCTTTTTCTTTCAATATAATCATTTTTTTCATACGCATTTACCACACTTATTCCGAATATACGCATGCGCATATTTTCAAATGTCTCTGTCTCTCTCCATTCATATCTGTTCGTTGAATTTCCAGTTACGATTGCAGTCATACTTCAATTGTTCTGCTTTCGTTCTCATCTCTCTCCATCTCTTTCCATCCCTCTCTTTTTTTTCTCTCCCACTCTCTCTTTCCCTCTGTTACACTTTTTTTCAATAAGGATGCTTCTTTTTGCCAATACCTAATTACTGACGCTGTTTTCCTTCCTCCTTTTTTGCATTAATTCCATCTTGAAAACGGGAAGCGATCTCTGTTTATTTGACATTGGCGGACGTATTACGTTGTACGACATAAAATACGTGATTTTACACGAGGCAATATAAAACGTAAAATTCAAATAAAGACCATACGTTTAATCAAAATATAAATTTACGACTATTGTGAAGGATGCATTTTTCCCCCCCACAAGCAAAGGCAAGTTTCCGAAGGAAAACCCAGTTTTGAGCAAACCTCAAAATGACGCTGTAATTTTTTTATCATTCCGTTTAAGTGTAATTCATTTCTCCAAAAATTCTCCTCTCTTCTGGCAGCAAAATGTTCAGCTGCTGTCATAAACGAATATCTAAATCTTAACGAAATTGTCAAGTTATTCGAGGATTATCTTGTGGGGTACAGCAGTGCCGGGTTAGGATCAGGATATCCACAACGTAAAGTACACGATAAATGATTTTAAGTCTAAAGTGTTTGTCGTTTCATGAAAAGCAGTAAAGATATTCAAATCAAGCACTCTCTGTTCAGAAGTAATAGAAAAGATATAAAATAAATGAAAAAATCCGGATCATGTGCCACTTTGCCGGAAGTTAGGAAGTTTCGGTCGTAGGCTGATATAAAGAGAATTACAAAATAATTGTGACAAGCCTTTTTCCATTGCCACTTGTGTGAAAGTGAACTGAGTAGGTTGGAATTCGAACTCGGCTCACCGGTATCTATTACAAAAACATATCCTTTTTATGGTGGCGTTTATGGTTAATTCGATTTTCAACTGATTTCTCTGTTTCCTTTCATTCTTTTCTTTTTCTTTCTTTTTCTTCTAATATATCATTTGTCATGCAAAAGAATAAGAAATGGATATGTTATTTCATTCATTTTTTATTTTGCTTCCTATAGACTTGTTCTCACTGTTTTTCTTTTCTTTTTCTATACCGTTCATTCATCATTTCATTGTTTATATTTCTTTCTAATAGATTCATTTTTCATTCTTTTTCTCTTTCTTTCCATTCGCTTTCATTCATTCTTTTCTTTTTTTCTTCTTCTATTATTATCCGCCTACAACGTTGTCTTTCTTTTAACTTCCTTTTCTTTTCTTTTCATTTTTCTTTTTTTCCAATAGTTTCGTTTTTCATTCTTTTCTCTTTCTTTCCATTCGCTTTCATTCATTCTTTTCTTTTTTATTATTATCCGCCTACAACGTTGTCTTTCTTTTTTAACTTCCTTTTCTTTTCTTTTCATTGATTTCTTTTTCTTCCAATAGTTTCATTTTTCATTCTTTTTCTCTTTCTTTCCATTCGCTTTCATTCATTCTTTTCTTTTTTTCTTCTTCTATTATTATCCGCCTACAACGTTGTCTTTCTTTTAACTTCCTTTTCTTTTCTTTTCATTGATTTCTTTTTTCTTCCAATAGTTTCGTTTTTCATTCTTTTTCTCTTTCTTTCCATTCGCTTTCATTCATTCTTTTCTTTTTTTTTTTCTTCTATTATTATCCGCCTACAACGTTGTCTTTCTTTTAACTTCCTTTTCTTTTCTTTTCATTGATTTCTTTTTTCTTCCAATAGTTTCGTTTTTCATTCTTTTTCTTTTTATTTCCTTCTTCAATCATTCATCACTTCCATTTTTATTTTTTTTCCTCAATAGACTCTTTTTGTATTCATTCTTTTCTCTTTCTTTCTTTTTTCTTTCATTCATTATTATCTTATTTTTCTCCATTGTTTTCGTCCTTCAGTGTTTGTTATTTTCTTCCTTTCCTTTACATTCATTTTTTCAGTTTTCATTCTTGTTTCTTTTTCTTTGTTTTTCAATTCGTACGTTACTTTATTTATTTATTTTTCTACGAATATTTTTATTTTTTAATCTTTTTTTTTTCTTTCTCAGGACTTTATTTAATAAAACGACTTCTGCTCTGCGTCATGTCTTTTCAGAACCTTAGAAATCATCGTCTTCTATAACTTCCTATACTATTTAACTCAAACCAATGTTTGTTGACCATACGTACTTATCCTTGTTCTAGCAACTATTTGGCTCTCATTGTTTCCTCTTGCCTTTAATATGCCCTGTGACTGCAAATTTCTTCAATCTTTTTTTCTTCCGTATATATATCCCAGGAATTTCAACTATCTCATTCCTGTTCTAAATAGTTTTTTTTTTCCTTAAATCTTCCTCGTTACTTTCATGCTCCGTCAATAGTATTCTCAGCATCCTTCTGTAGAACAATTTTTATTCTGCCTAATTTCTTCCTTTTATCTGTGAGGAAATTGTCCACAATTCACAGCCATATCGCAGGATTCTTAATGCACAGACGTTTAACAATCTTTTTTTTTGTTTCTAACCAAAGTTTGGTGCTTTTTAATATTTTGTTTAGATTTTGAAAGTCCTCATTCACTTTTCTTTATGTACTATTGTGATACCGGAAACTACTTACACAATAGACTCTTCCAGGCCTACATTAAGTAGGCGACATAGCACTCTAGAGAGTCGCACCGAGCGACATCACTCGCTCACTTTCTGGTGCGACTGTTCGGTTCAACTCTCTTCCTACGGGCGGGAGGAACCCTGAACCCGTTTATAAGGGTTCAAGTGGGCTCTTTTTTGGCCGAGCCTAATGGCTCGGGAATGCTCACGTTAAAAAGGCCTTGTGCCACATGCACCCTCGTGGGGTGGGTGACTAAATATCGTCACACAGAGTGATATACTGAGTTCCGCTTACACTATCTCTGTAACCTGTTGTTAATATATCTTTCTTACATCTAATCCGTGTTCCGTGTTTTACTTCTGTGGTCCCAACTTTGGCCCCACAACAGTGGCGACGAGTATTCGAGAAACGCACTCACGGCGAAACCTAAATACCTTACCAATCCCACATCTGGGTCAACGAAGAATTCTAGAAACGCATTCACGTCGAAAAACCGCAATACCTTGCCAGTCCCACAACAATGGCGACAGAAAAGATTCGAGAATTTCGTTCTCACCATATCAATAGCGACAGTACTCGAAAAATACACAAACTCTACGCGTTCCCACAGCAGTGTTGAACGTGAAATTAAGCTGGTATTAATACATTAGCGATTTAAAAGCAAAAACACCCAGCGTCTACATATATTCCAATACCAAGCAGCAATGACGAACTAGCGATTCGAAATCTACGGAATATTAAAGTCTGTCCAAAATACGAGAACGATTTCTACTCACACACACACACACACACACACACACACACACACACACACACAGAAAAAAAAAAAGTTTGTTCATAAAACAAACTGACGACACAAGTTTTCGGGAAAAAAATTATCGAAATTTTTTTTTTATGTACCTGAGTTGAACCCGTGCATAAAATTATTCTCCCCTCAAATTCACTGAGGCGAGTTTTCTCTTTTTGTACCTTTCTAAAAAAAAAAAATAAAAAAAAATAAAAAAAATACATAAGTGTGGTGAAAATTTATTCAATTACGTTAAAATTAACGGAACCACTGGAATTGCAAAAAAGTTAAACACATAATTAGTTTAGTTTAACTAATTGTCCATATTTTTTTTTCTGTAAAAGAAAAAAAAAAGGAACAAAAATCTATCAAGATTTTTGTGCACCTCCTCTTAGTACACGTGTTTCAAAGAAAAAAAATCACTCTCATTTTTAAATATGGAAGATTTGCAAAAAGTAGTTGCCCAAATGTTAAAACAAAATTTGGACCAGCAACAAAAAGCAGAAGAAAGACAACAACTATTTTGGAATTACATAAACAACAAATGGAATTCCCATAAATTACGCTTCAGAATGCTGAACTACAACAGAAACATCTTAAAGAATTATTCGTAAATGCATTAAAAGGCTCAAACTCTGAAAAAGATACAATATTCTCCCAGAGTATAATCTACAATTCAATGGAAACCTTTGAATACGTACCAGAGGAAGAAAAAACGTTCCAGGCTTTTTACAGGCGCTACGAAGATATTTTCAGCGTAGACTGTAAACAATGGTCCCGTAAAAAAAAAATACGTCTTCTATTGAGAAAACTGGGAACTACAGAACATAGTAGGTTCGTAGACTTCATACTACCCAAGAAAACGACTGACTTGGATTTTTCAGAGACTATTAAGTTCCTATCGAAACACAACCTTGTTCCACAAACATTGGCAATGCCTGAACACAGTCAAAGACAACCAGCAAGAGTTTCTAACGTTTGCAGCATCGGTAAACAAGCTCTGTAATGATTTTAAACTAGCCGAACTGACTGCCGATGATTTCAAGTGCTTAGTTTTCGCACAAGGTCTAGTATCAGCAGAAGACGTCGAAGTCAGCCAACGAGTACTGACCAAGCTTGAGAACGAACAAGGACTGTCAAAGAGTAATATCTGTAAAGCGTGACTCAAACACTATCGAGGAATCAGGTGTGACTCAGATTAATAAAACCAGAAGTAAGTCTACCTCCTATCTCCCTCAAAAAGACAAAAGGCAAATCTCATGTCCTAAATTCCGCAAAAATTGCAATAAAAGTGGTCATACTTTAACTTCGTGCTGGTACGCCAACAGAACGAGAAAACCCAAAAATAAAATTATGCAAGCTCAATCTAACAATATTGTGGATAGGAATTTAAGAAAATATGTAACTGTGGATATTTTCAATAAGTCCATTAAATTTCAGCTTGACTCGGGTTCTGATATTTCAACCATTAACTGGCGTACTTGGCGAAAATTGAACAAGCCGACCTTATTAAAAACGGATAAAACAGCAAAATCCGTAAATGGGGCAAAAATTAACACTTTAGGCGAGGTAATACTTACAGTAACACTAAATGGAGTTACCAAAAAGCTCAAAGCCTACGTATTAAAAACTTTAGACAACTTATTTGGAACTGATTGGATAGAAAAATTCAATTTTTGGGATTGCCCAATGAGTACATTTTGTCGCAAGATACAAAGTACAACGTCCAATTTGGTAAATCTAAAAAAGGAGCTCAAATAACAATTTCCCCAGGTTTTTTCTGGTGGCCTTGGGAAATGTACTAAAATGAAAGCTAAGTTCAAGGTGAAGGACAGTGCACAACCGGTATTCAAAAAGAAACGGAATGTCCCTTTCACTGCTCTAGAGCAAATCAATAAAGAGTTAGATAGACTCGCACAAGCAGATATTCTGTTAACAACAGATTTCAGCGAGTGGGCAGCACCTACGGTCTACGTAAAAAAAAAAATACGAGCCAACGCGACCAGAAACATGCCGGCCCCAGATAACGTTCAAGCGTTACAAAGCTTCCTCGGCCTAGCTAACTTTTACCAAGGGTTCATTAAGACCATGCAAAATTTGAGAGGGCCTTTCAACCAACTTTTAAAAAAGAACAAACCATGGCCATAGACCCCGGGATGCCAAGACGCATTCGAGAAGATCAAGAAAACTCTTATTTCGGACCTCTCTCTCACCCATTACGACCCTAGTCTCGACATATTCGCAAGTGATGCAAGCTTGTACGGCATAGGCGCTTGCATATTACATAAACTGCCAGACGGTTCGCGAAAAGCTGTGGCTCACGCATCAAGATCTCTACTTCCAGCTGAAAAACAATATTCCCAAATAGAGAAAGAGGCTCTAGGGTTAATATTCGCAGTGACAAAATTTCACAGATATCTATATGGTAGACGGTTCTTACTGCAGACAGATCATAAACCTCTGATTACAATTTTTGGGTCTAAAAAAGGTCTGCCAGTCTATACTGCAAATAGACTACTTCGTTGGGGAACAATTCTCTTAAACTATAATTTTAAGATAGTTCCTAACAATCAAAAATATTTGCCATGCAGACAGTTTATCGCGACTCATTCCAAAAAATACGGAAGTCTTTGAAGACTCCATCATTGCTACTCTAAGGACAAATTGTGAAATCAAAAACATGATCGCAAGTACCATAAGAGAATCTCGAGAGGATGAATTCATCCAATCAATAAAAAGCAAAATGCGCAACAAAGATCCCAATGTGCTTGAAGCTTTCTCCCTTTGCGATGACGTCCTACTATATAATGACCGCGCAGTGATTCCAAACAGCTTACAAAGAAAAATCCTATCCGGGGAAGAACCGTACGAAAAGCCTCATGTGCTGCTACGTTTATTGGCCAAACATGGACAAGGACATAGCATACATGATAGAAGCATGCAAAGGATGCTCGCTTGCAGCAAAAGCTCCAAACACGACGTGCAAACCATGGCCCAAAACAGACCATCCTTGGCAAAGAATCCATGTGGATTTTGCAGGGCCTATGGGCAACATGTACTATCTCATTGTTGTGGATAGCCACTCAAAATGTAAAAGACCAACCACAAACTGCACGATCGGATTTTTACACGAGCTATTCGCGCGTTTTGGCGTCGTAGATTGTATAGTTACTGATAATGGCACTCAATTCACATCAAGTGAATTTAGAGACTTCTGCAAGTCATATAAGGGGAACCACGTTACAACGCCTCAGTACCACCTTCAGGGTCAAATGCCCAGGCCGAAAGTTTCGTGGACACTTTAAAAAGGGCTTTAAGAAAGGCATTAGGCACACCGACAGATAAAGCATTGCAACAATTTCTGCAGGTGTATCGGATAACCACTAATCCGAACACGCCTATGGGAAGCTCGCCTGCAGAAACAATGTTCGCAAGGAAAATAAAGTCAGTTTTCGACAAACTGATTCCACGGCAAGCAAAATTAAAAAAAAAAAAACGTATCGCCTCATAGGAAATATTTCAATCCTGGCGATAGGGTCTTTTTCAAGGCGTACAAGAACAATATGACATTCTGGGAAGTGGGCATCTGTGGCACCATTTACCAG